ATAAGCAAAAAAGAAAAAAGTGGGAAGTGGCGCTGTGGCTCAAGTGGTAGTGCGCTAGCCTTGAGCTGAAGAGCTGAGGGACAGTGCCCAAGCCCAGAGTTCAGGCCCCACGACCGGACCCCCCAAAAAAATGCTTTTCATTTCAACCCCAGCACCATTCTCTAAGTATGTATGCATACATCTTGTAACCTACTTTTGGTAACAGTACATTTTCTGTTTTTTATTTTCTGAAGAATATTTTTCTTTTGCCAAGTTTTGTGAAGATAGCCTCAGTGAATATAAAATGCTTTGGTCAGTCATCGCTCCTTTGACTACAGATTCTGACTCCATGTCTCTGTGCAGGCCAGCAGCTGGGGTTTCGCATTGCCTTGTGCATAAGGATTCATTTTTCCCTGGCTCCTTCCAAGATTCCTTTGATTTCTGCTCTCAGAACTTCACTGTGATGTGTTTAGCAGTGGATCTCTCTGCATTTGTCCTAGAGTTCATTAGCTTCCTGAGTATGTTATATTCTCAACAAGATTGGGAGTTTTCAGCTATTTTTTTTTCAAATGTTTTGTTCCCCTTTCTTTTTTCTTTCTGGTACTTCTGTTCCATATTTGTTGGTGTGTTTATTTGTGGTTCTGTTTATGAAGTGGTTCTGAAGCTCTGTTTATTTTTCATTTTTTTTCTCTCTGTACCTTAGGTTGTATATAAGCATTTGTGATACTGACATTTTTCTCTAAGAATCTCTACTCTTTGCACATTTAATACATTTGCACTTTAGTTATCATTCAACTCCAGAATTTCTATTTGTTTTTTATAATTTATATGACATGATTAATATTCTCTGAAGAATCACCATCATCATCACTTTTTTGTGTCTTTAAATGACTTCCTTTAGGTGTTTGAAAGTATTTATAACAGCTGTCAAGTTTGTCACATTCAAAACAGGGCCCAAATCACAAGCAGTTTCTGTTGCCTGCTTCTTTAGAAAGAGGCTCTCACCATACAGCTCAGGCTAGTCTGGTACTTGCTACATAACCCAGGCTGGCCTCAAATAGTAATCTTCCTGACTCTGGCTCCCAACTTCTGGGATTATAGGTGCTCACTACTGCATCAGCCTTTTGGTGTGTTTTGCCTTTGAATGGATCACATTTTCCTGTATCGTAATCTTTCACTGTGTATTTTTGGACACTCTGGATAACAATCCCTCATCTCTCTAGGCTTGCTTCATGAATTTTCTGTCTTTCTTGGAGCACTGTCCTGCATTGCCCAATATTCAGGATCTTGTTAAACACTGTTAGTGGGTTGTTTTGTTTTTAGATTTCTTATGAAGTTGAGTGGTGAATCCAGTCATTAGCACTATACTTTGGCTGGAAATCTTTTTTTAATGATTTAAAATATGTATGATTTTGTTTTTCAAGGAAGAGAGGAATATGCATTTGTTTACAAGGAACATGATATTCCGACATCTGAAGAAGAAAGGGAAGAGTGGAAAGAGGGAAAGTCCTCACTCTCATTAGACCTCTCTTCTTGTCATGATCTCATAAAGAACATTCAGGAAGCGATTTTTCATCACATATGAACTTATGAACTGATCTGGAGTAACCAGTTTCATATTTACACACTGCTTCTCAAAAGCATTATTTGAATTTGAGTCTTCTTCATTCTTTTTACCCCATTAACTTTTTCTAATGCAAATGGCTGATTTTTAGTTTCTTTCCAATTTTCAATTGTGTCAAATCCAGTATGTTTTTGGTTTTGGTTTTTTGGCAGTCCTGGAGCTTGAACTCAGGGCCTGGGCACTGACTGTCTTGAGCTCCTTTTGCTCAAGGCTAGTGCTCTACCACTTGAGCCACAGTGCCATTTCTGACTTTTTCTGTTTATATGGTACTGAGGAATTAAACCCAGGGCCTCATGCATGCAAGGCAAGCACTCTACTACTAAGCCACCTTCCCAGCCCCTTACTCTACATTTTCTACACAGGGAAAAATGGTCTACTCACCAAAAAAAAAAAAATGTATAAAATACGATACACAAAATCAATAAACATACATAAAAGAATTATACCTATATCTCAAATGTCTATTAAGTGTATTTTATCTTTCATCCATAGTAGATTTTACTGAAATACACTATTACCTTGGGAAAATCATCATTAGACACATATAGGTAAAATACAGGAACAATTGTAAAGTATTACAAGTTTACATTTATAAAACAAGCTGGGCACCAGTGGCTCACACCTGTAATCCTAGCTACTCAGGAGGCTAAAATGAGGATTGAGGTTTGAAGTCAGCCCCCGCAGGAAAGTCCACAAGACCCTTATCTCCAACAAACTACTCAATAAATAAACAAACAAAAAAGCCAGAACTGGCTCTGAGGCTCAAGTAGTAGAGTGCTCACCTTGAGCAAAAGAAGCTGAAGGATAGCACCCAGGCTCAAATTTCATGCCCCAGGTCTGGCAAAAATAAATAAATAAATAACTGATCTTCCATTCTGAAAAACTCCAGTAGTTTAATATTTATATATTTACTACTGCCTGATATTATTAAATAAAATAAACTTTAATAAGAATAATACAATTTATGTATAATATTTTTCAATAACGACAATTAGAAAGAAGAGGATCAAGGAGAAAAAGATAGTTTTTGTATTCTAAGAATTTACTTTCAAAAGTTTCCTTATAAAATGTTTTTAAGCTGGGCGCTGGTGGCTCATGCCTGTAATCCTAGCAACTCAGGAGGCTGAGATCTGAGGATCACGGTTCAAAGCCAGACTGGGCAGGAAAGTCCGTGGTTTATCTCCAATAAAGCACTAGAAAACCAGAAGTGGAACTGTGGCTCAAGCGGTAGAGTGCTCGCCTTGAGCTGAAGAGTACAGGGACAGCACCCAGGCCCAGAGTTCAAGCCCCAAGACTGACAAAAAAAATGTTTTTAATATATCTGATACTAAAATTCTGTAAGATGAGTAAGGACAGATTTCCTATTATTTAATCTACTTAATACACCTAGTTTACTTGCCTATATGAGTTTTGCACTCAAAAGTATACATTTTCCACATGATTCTCTGCTAGTAACCAAACACAGTCAAATAAAGAGTAGTCATTACACTAAGAAGTATTACTGAGGATCTATAGATGCACACACAAAACTCCCTCCCCAAGAATTCTACATCAGACAAAAACTATTCGCCTTATTAGCCTTTAGCACTGCCATTTTATCTAACGTTGACAAAGCTGTTCAACATCTAATAAATATATGTGTAAAAGTAGGGAAGTATTGTGCTGAAGCCACTGGACAGCTACGAGAAATACATGTAAAATGCCTAATTCTCAAGACAGAAAATAAAATACAACAAAAAAACAATAATTAGCATAAGGTTGCAGCACATAGTATTTCTAGGCCTTTCACAGCCATTTTCTCTTTTTTATTCAGTAAAATTCTCCACAGCTTCCTGTATCATATAAAATTACACAACAAATAAAATTGCTGCAGTTTACAGACCGCAGGGGTCTAAGGAAAGCCAACTGTTACCAAATCTATTTTACTACATCTGCATGCAATACTCTTCCAGAGCTACAAAATATTTTATAGAATTCTCCCAAAGTCCTAGAAAATCTTGGATCTTGGCAGATAGCAGTAAGAAAAAGATGATCAACCTCTGGGTTTAGAAGTCTCTTAATTCCTGAAAGCTGCTAAACATAAAAATGGTGTACATAAAATACAAAACAAACTAAGATTGCAAAATCTCTGCTCTCCCATTCTAATACTCCACTTCACTTTCTTCCAGTCCCAAGTTTAATTCTTGAAAGAACAATCTCATTATGAATTGAACCAACAAACTTTATCAAGAGTTGTTTCCTTATAGGAGTGGGTATACCAGGTAGGGAGCAGCTTTACCTTCTGAAGAGCAATGTATGATTGCCGCTAAACATTTAATACTCTAATCTCAATGGATCCCGACTTTCCTGTGTAGTTAACAGCAATTGAAAGGGGCAGGCTATTACTACTCTATCAGATTACTTCCAAAGGGAGTAAGTTCTATTACTCCAAAGTGGTATTAGAATACGCTTTCCCAAGACATTTCCCTATGAAAATCAATTCTTGTATTGGTAATGTACATAAAGATTTTTTTATTGTTGTTGGTCATGGGGCTTAAACTCTGGGCCTGAATACTGTCCTTCAGCTCTTCAGCTCAAGGCTAGTGCTCTATCACTTGAGCACCACTTCCGGTTTTCTGGTGGTTTACTGGAGATAAGAGTCTCACTTACTTTCCTGCCTCAGGCTAGCTTTGAATCTCAATCCTCAGATCTCAGCCTCCTGAATAGCTAGGATTACAAGTGTGAGCCACTGGCACTTGGCTATATAGTGATTTTCTTTCCTTTTTCTTTTTTTTTTTGGGAGGGGGGGCAGTCTACTAGCACTGCCCCTGAGCTTCTTTTGCTCAAGGCTAGCGCTCTATTATATGAGCCACAGCGCCACTTCTGGCTTTTTCTGTTTATGTGGTACTGAGGAATTGAACCCAGGGCTTCAAGCATGTTAGGCAAGCACTCTACCACTAAGTCACATTCCTGGCCCGATTTTCTAGCTTTGCACAAACAGTTCTAAAAAGAAGTACAATTTTGAACTGCTCACTTTACCTTGTTATAGACGGAGGTTTGTGGCCCACAAACCAGAACTGCCATCAGACAGGAGCTTATTAAAAATGCAGAATGTCAACTGTACCCTGGCATAGAATACTACCATACCCCCAGCCTAATGAATGGGGGTCTGCACTTTACTGAGATGTCTCATAACTTAAGTACACAATGAAGTATAAGAAGCACCCCAGTTTTACATGATAAGGAGATTTGACTCCACAATCCTCCACCCCCCCTCCCCCGTACCAATCCATGTTAACTGCCTGGCTTCCCAGCCAAACGTCTAACTTATGTTCCATATAGAACTGAGAAAATCTTTTTAGTGAGAGAGAGTGAGTGGGGAGGGGAGTAAAAACTCATTAGCTCTATGTTCATTTACCTTGATGGGAAGTAGTGAGGTCCAGGTAGGAAGTAAGGGTGGTGGAAGGAGAACCGTGGTGGTGTTCCGAACAGCGTGGCTGGATGGCCGAGGGGAGCGGGCTGGTAGACATGGGTATGTGGGATGGAAGGTGCCTGGGGAATTGGAGCGCTTCTAGGACAAGTGGCAACGCTGGAATACTCCTTGGGAGGCTGGATGGTCGAGGTTGCAAATCTGGCATGGGCGGTACTAGCACTTGTCGGAATCCTGCTGGTGGTGTCCAGAGACACAGGAGTGGGCCTCTTGATGGAGTGATTGGCTCCAGAAGGCAGCCGATGAGTGTCAGTTTGGGAAGGCCCAGCAAAGCGCTGGGGTGGGAGTGCTGGGCGGAGGGGCAGACTCGGAGCCTGGACAGCCACCTGGGCAGTACTGGAGACGTTGGGCTGGAAAAGTGTGATGGGGCTTGGGCGCTGGACTGCAGGTGTGGGCAGCTGGATGGCAGGTGGGGTTTCACCTTTAGAAATAAAAAGAACATAGGTCAGCCACTTCATGCTTTTCACTTTCCAGTCAAAGTAAATGCACTGTTCAACGAGAGCGCCTCATGAACCACCTACCTAAGGTTTCCATATCAGTCGTATTTCCTTTGTGTTATTTCGTTTTGTGTATATGTGTATGTGTGTGTGTGCCTGCACACACCCACCAATACTTGAGCTTGAACTCAGAGCCTTAAGTCCTTGTGTGGATTTTTCTCTCAAGGCTGGTGCTCTAACAGCTGAACCACACCTTCACTTCTGGCTTTTTGTTAGTTGGCTGGAGATGAAGAGTCTCTTGGATTTATTGCCCTGGTTGGCATTGAACTTTGATCCTCAGATCTTGGTCTCCTGGGTAGCTAGGATTACAGGCATGAGCATGAGCTACTGGTGCTAGCCTTGTTCTTTTTTTTTGTCAGTCATGGGGCTTGAAGTCTGGGCCTGGGCGCTGTCCCTCAGCTCTTCAGCTCAAGGCTAGCACTCTACCACTTGAGCTACAGCGCCACTTCTGGTTTTGAGTGTTTATTGGAGATAAGAGTTTCACGGAGTGGTTGGGAAGGTGGCGCAGTGGTAGAGCGCTTGCCTTGCATGCCTGAGGCCCTGGGTTCGATTCCTCAGCACCACATAAGCAAAAAGAAAAAAAAGCCGGAGGTGGCGCTGTGGCTCAAGTGGTAGAGCGCTAGCCTTGAGCTGAAGAGCTGAGGGACAGCGTCTAGGCCCAGAGTTCAGGTCCCACGACCGGATCCAAAAAAAAAAAAAAAAAAAGAGTTTCACGGACTTTCCTGCCTGGGCTGGCTTTGAACTACTCTCAGCCTCCTGAGTAGGTAGGATTACAGGCGTGAGCCACGGGCGCCCGGCTTTTTTTTTTTTTTTCTCTCTCCCAATGAGACTCTAAGTACCTTGAAAAGAGGAAAAGAGACTTTTTCTGGGTTGTTCACAACTGTACCAGGGCTGTGCAAAACCACGGATCAAGTTTCAGTTACTAAAGGAAGGGCACACCATTTATCCAATTCTCCAATGAATAGTCCTCCATCAGGAGAAGTGGAACTGAGGCAGGGGATGATAATCAAGCATGTACTTAATTCATTAAACCCTAATATGTGCCAAGATCGGAAATTATATACAAAGAGAGTTCAGGGTGCTGAATGTCAAAATTCAGGTTAAAATTGAAAATAGTCAACTCTGATGAAGTGTGGTGATGGTAAAGACTTGAAAAAAAGGCCAGAGCCCTAATTAGTCAAACTGTAGATAAGATATGGAAAGCAGTGAGTCTGTGAAACAGTTCACCCTCTAGCACACAGCTAGATTATAATTCCCAACCTTCCTTGCGGTTAGAGGGGCCATGAGACTAAAGGCCTACAAATACAAGCAGAAGTAATGGCTGCCATGTCTCCCATGGGCCTATGGGTACCATGATCTCCGGATGCTGCTCATGAAAGATGACAGTGCTACGAGTCAGAGGTAGCCTGGGCCCATGAATTATCTTTGGGAACAGAGCTACATTTACCTATCAGAAATTCTCGTTTGGGATTCTATTTTAGAGCTTATTACAGCAGCTAGAAGTGCCTAGTGATTACATGAAGAAAGGAATAGAACTGAAGTTCAAAAAGACAAAAGAAACCAGACTATAGAGCTTTACGTAATTCCTGCATATCTCAACCCCCCCCTCCCAGAGGAAGAAATCACAGCATGTGCTGCAGCAGGGACAGCCCCATCAGACTTCTGTTGAGTCACTGAGATGAACAGTAGAGTGGGAAATGGCAGAAACTGAACACAGACCAGGATGTTTCGTATGACGGTGATAAGGAAAGGAGAAGAGCACGTGAAAGGTGAGAAGGAACAGAGACTGATGAGAAATGGGAGGAGTATTTCGTCCACTGCTAAGAAAAGGGGACCCACCAGACGCAGTTTTGTACTGGGCCACATGATTTTCACTCCCCTGAGTCAAGAAAACATACATAAAGAACTGTGTCACTGAAACAAATGCACTTTTTGAAGCCAGATTTGATTTTATATGGATATAATGTTTTGCTGGAACAGATCATAAAACTTAAGGAAATAAACTAACCTATTTTCTGAACTATAATAGTACCAATATTATAGAAATTTGTTTTCTTTTGTTCTGTTTATGAAGTAGTGGCTAAACTAAAATGGCTATAGTCCCAAATTTAAATAGTAGCAAACATTTTAAAATTTAAAATTTAGAGGAAATGTATGAATTCTGAAGAGTAAAAGGGGCTGGTTTTCACTGAGTTAAGATGAAATAAGGAAGACCAATTTGGGATTAAGAAATAAAATGTAGAGAATAACCAGAACATTAAAAATGTGCTAAATGATTCTGAAAACCCAGGCTAAAATAATTCTATAGCTTCAATAAAAGTTGGCAAGCTTTTAATTGAATTTGAATTCTCCTATCAATCAGACTGTTGGCATCACTGGCAATGAGATATGTGTTAACACAAGCTAAAGAGAATCGTGGATGATTATGCTAGAAGCATTTTCAGAACCTAAGGACACTTTGGAAGTGGCAGTAAGTGTGAAACACAGAGTAAATAATGGATTGGACATAAAAGCAATACCACACAAGAAAGTTATTACAGATTCTGTCAAGCAAACAGTAAAACCAGTTATATGTGTGTCCTTTTTTTTTTTTTTACACCTTCCTCATGGAGTCTTCGGTATCAAAAGACCATAAAAACATCTTTACATTTTATCCCCAGCACAGACTGGCCTATAATAGGTAATGAATACGTATATGTGTTACACAGTAGAGGGGACAGGCACAAAGACACCGGACACAGACCACCTCACCGAAGCAGCTGAACACCTAATACATTCCAGTTTTCAAAGACAGTGTAGGTCAATAATGAGATCCAGCATGCTGGTACAGCAATCTGCTACAGGGCAAATGACTGCTAAGTAGAACAGTCTCAGTAAAATATACAAGAAACAAAAATAAATTTGATTGAAAGTAAATTAATAAAGAAAGAGTGCTAAAAAAAAAAAATTCAGGAGCCAGGTGCTGGTGGCTCACTCCTGTAAGCTGAGATGTAAGGATTGCAGTTCAAAGCCAGCCTGTGCAGCAAAGTCTGTGAGACTCTTATTTCCAATAAAGCACTCAGAAAACTGGAAGAGGTGTTGTGGCGCAAGTTGTACAGCACTATCCTCGAGCTGAAGAGCTGAGGGACAGTGCCCAGGCCCAGAGCTCAAGCCCCACGACTGACAAAAACAAAAAACAGGAATTTGATGTGTGAAATATTATGCAGTATAATCACGTCATCTCTGAATGTAAATTTCGTCCTAATGAGAAAAAGTGCCTTGAGGCACTTCCACTTTTGGAAAAGAAATACTAGCTAGGGGAAAAAAAAGGCTGATTAGGCTTGAACTCTGGGCCTGAATGCTGTCCCTCAGCTCTCAGCTCAAGGCAAACACTCTACCACTTGAGCCACAGCGCCAATTCCGGTTTTCTGAGGGATTTATTGGAGGTAATAGTCTCACGGACTTTCCTGCCCAGGCTGGCTATGAACTGTGCTCCTCAAGATCTCAGCCTCCTGAATAGCTAGGATAACAGACATGAGCCACGGGTGCCTGGCTCCAAAATTTTTTTTTAGTTATTTTATATGATGACAAAAACAAAGAAAAAAATAAGGTCTCCAAATCAGAAAGGTGTTGTCTATCAAAACCTTTCCCAAATGCACAAATGAGCCCACATGTTGTAAATTAGTGCAAACAAAAAGTTGGCAGCCAAACATGAGACTACAAAATCCACACTAATTGACTTTTTTAAATACTTTATCAGAAAGAAGACAGCTGGAAGTGTTTAGTTGAACACTTACGAAGGCAACTGAAAAGACAAAACTCCTTCCTTCTAAAGGACTTGAGACGATTCCTACACCTCAATTCGTTTTCGTAGTTTGTTAGATCAACCACGATATAATGGAAAGCTCTCAGGGTGTTGTTTTTAGCCAAATGGAAAACAAAGAATTAAAACTTAGATCTTAGGTAGCATTCACCTAAAAACTGTAGAGAAACTCAAAGGTAAAACTGAGAAATACTGGATAAAGCTAATCCAAATGGCTGCTATGGGGGAGTTTTTGTGAGTGAGTGTCACTTCTAGCTTCTGGAAGTGACCCTGAGCATTGTTGAGTTTTATTTTTCACACTTGCAAAGCTGGTCAAATCTAGGCAGTATTGTACTAATGCACAAAGCTTGCTAAAAATAGAATAAATTATTTTTTTTTGCAATACTTTAGGAATGTTTTATGGGGTTTTTTTTTGTTTTTTGTTTTTGCCACCGATTGTGGGGCCTGAACTCTGGGCCTGGGTGCTATCTCTCAGCTCTTCAGCTCAAGGCTAGCGCTCTACCACTTGAGCCACAGCACCACTTCTGGCTTTTGTTTTCTGCTTATGTGGTGCTGAGGAATCAAACAAGGCAAGTGCTCTACCATTGAGCCACTTCCCAGGCCTATGTGTGTTCTTTTAAAAGGCCAACAAAAAAGTCAATGTCTTTGGTTACTGTTGTGAAGTTTTGAAACTTCTTGTAAGTATGCCTACCCTACTTAAAATATAATGTAATTGTGCAAGAACGAATGTTAGAAGACAAACTTCCAGTTACCTATCTTTGTTTAGAAAGCCATAGGATTAAGAGCACTACTAATGAAGGATGTTGATGAAGGTTAATGCAGACAGCCCGACTGCGAGCAGAGGCCAAGGCAACACATTGGCTTGTTGTAACTTTTGCTTGAACCTACGTAAGGGATAACATTAAAAAAAATGCCTTTTTCAGGGTCCTGAGAATTAACTAAACGTCCCCCAGTTTTGTGTCTGTACCTGTTTATCTGAGCTTTTCTCCCTTGCAGTTCCTTTGCTATCACTTCATTTGCAGGGGTACAGATATCTTGTGTGGCATGTAAACTTACTATCTTAAAGGAAACAGCTCCAAACTCAGAAAACCACCTTGCTCCTCCTCCTACTCTGCTCCAGGGATAAAGTGGTAACTTCTCTGCAACTCCTCCCCAGACAAAAACTGAGCTAACGGTCAACAAAGCTATACTTCAACTTGCAACTGTTTTAACTCTGCAGATCTTTCTCATCCCAGCCCCCAATTCTCTTTACTGAACACGAAGACGGCTGAAGATGTACTGAAGTGCTGTCTTCCCACAGCTGCCATGCAATGAATCTCCTTTCTCTGCCTTCACCATCTCCATTTGGCATATGAGAATGAGTGGCCAGACCTAACTTCAGACTCCTGGATGTTGGGTCTGGGTTTTAAATCCTGATGTCATGTAGACATCTTGAAAGTGCCTTTGTTGCTAAAGTTGATGCATTTAAAGGAAACACTAAAAATGCATAATATAGGATATTAAAATTCAATAAGTCAATTTCTAAGGTATCTAAACCTCTCTACTCATAAGGGAAGCTTTATTAACTGGAAGAAGGGAATAGAAGAAATGAGAGAGAGAAATTTTAGGCAAATTTGTCTTAAGTAGTTGTAAGGTAAGTGGTAGGAATAGTATTGAACGCTATTGCTCTCCTTAAGAGATGGTTAAACTAGGTTCTACAAATTAGCGAGGGACATGACCCTACAGTAAGATATGATGTTCTCAATGTCAGATTCCTATAATCAACAGAAAGGCTGTAAAGAACTAATACAAATAGATAATACAATAAATGGAACAAGCACTGGTTAAAAATGAGTTTCTTCCTGAGGGGTTGTGAGGGAAGGTGGAGAACGATGAAAGGGGCAGCATTAGTCAAGCTGCGTTGTACTTACATGCTGATTTGTGGACTGGTAATCCCTTTATGGACCGCTTAAAGATAGCATGATGTAATTTAAAATGTTGTAAAAAAATGAGTCACTTCCATTGCTTTTCTGGAACATTGAAGGAAGAGCCTTGGACAGATCAATATCATCACCAAGCTCCAGAGCAGGATGCACCATACCCAATTAGCAAGGCATTCATTCTTTCATACTGAGCATCACAAGACACTCCCATTTCCTATTGAATTACCTCAGCCATTTCCTACAGCATCTGACTAATCTAGGGACTCATCCTGACCCGCTTAAAAGGGCTCAGTTTTCACACGTGGATAAGTAAACTTGATATCTGCTGAAATTTTTTTCCTCCTCCTATTTAATGTTTTCACTTTCTTCTGGACTTTTCCCTCTTAATTTTGTTGTTCTAAATTCTGAGTCGAACAGAAACCAAATTTCAAGTCAATAGGGAAGATTTTTTTAAATATATATACAGGTACTTAAAAATAGTAATCTATAATAAAACTAACTCACCAACTGGATGAGGGATGGTGTTCTGTAAGCTGGGAATTACCACAGAATAGGTAGGTGACCGATAAGGATAAATTGTTGTAGGATTTGTTGAGATAATATTCTGTGTGGTACCAGAAAATACGTTAGAAACGCTTAGAGGGAAGCGTTTTCGCTTCCCTGGACGAGGCTGATAAACCCAACCTATAGGAAAAGATAGACTTTTTAATAAAAACATAGACTACTTAGCCTTTTCATACTAGATATGTCTTACTAAAACTGCAAAACACTTCAAGGATTTTAATAAGTTATTGTCTATATTTTCGGCTTTAGGATCCCATTTCTGTGAATGGCTCCTCCAGTCTACATTTTAGCCTATCTGTCTGTATGTCTATCTGTATGTCATCTATCTATCTAGTTTCTAATTCGTTGTCAACTTCATAAACTTTAATTCAAAAGAAGGCTAAATGCCTTATACATTCAGGGGCCTACAGTGAATCTGTAGTAGGGTCTACATCAAACGCATTGCTACCAAACCCTTTCCTGTACTTATAAAAACTATGCCCAGAAATACATTATTCATCTCCTCCTGTTTCCTCACTTTCTTTAAGATACAATTGTCTATTTCTTGCAGTGAAATAATCACTAATAATCAGTCACTATTTTTATATCTAGTACAGGAAGTTATTGGCTTTTACAATCTCTAAAACAACTCAATTTCCTCCCAAAGTCCAAATGGTAGAGTTAGGGTTATATTACTGTAGAATCTGAAGAATCAGTGCTTCCCTCTATTGTTTACCTCTGATCCTCCCTCCTAAAACCTGCTTGTGTTCCAGAAAAATACAAGGTTGTTACTTCACCCCTAGTTATGTTAGTCATACCGCCTTTTTCCCAAGCTTAAGCTCAGTGTCTTTACCTGGGAAGATATCAGACTCATTTCAAACTCTGTAGGTTAATCAGAAGGCAAGACTATGTTCTGGTAACCACACAGTATTAAAATGCATGGTAATCCATTTTACCACAATGGTAATCTCTGTGCTCTATCTTAAAACGTGTTTTTTAATGTTTTCTGATTGCTATGATTTTCTTATGTCCAGTATATTTTCAAATATACCTTTTACCTTAGAATTGTGAAGATTTACCTTCATTTTTTTTTTCTTTTGGTCGGTTGTGGGGCTTGAACTCTGGGCCTGGGCGCTGTCCCTTAGCTCTTCAGCTCAAGGCGAGCACTCTACCACTTGAGCTACAGCGCCAATTCCGGTTTTCTGGAGATAAGAGTCTCAAGGACTTTCTTGCCCAGGCTGGCTTTGAACCATGATCCTCAGATCTCAGCCTCCTGAGTAGCTAGGATTACAGGTGTGAGCCGCCGGTGCCCAGCTCCTCCATTCCATTTCTATCGTCCATTAATTTTAAGATCAATCCATCGATCTTAAAAGTAGCTTTTAGTGAGTTTCCTTATGCTATTTTATACCAATACCGTGTATTTTGATATTATTTGCCCTCCATCTCAAAACTTGAGAACAGATTGCCTCTGATTTAGATTAGTTGGGATGAGACCACATATTCTTCAAATTGGTTCTTTTTTAAGGAAACGTCCCCCATTACTCACTATATCATATCATTACTACAAGGTTAGCCATTATTCTTTCTTATACATATCCAATTAGGAACAAAAATTATATCCTTTTGTCTTCCACTCTCAACCCAACAATCTTTACCAAAATACACTGAAAGGAAATTAGGAAGGGGCTTTGTTCATTTTGCCGGATTACCAGGAAATTCCTCTCTGTGCTTTTCTTTAATTTTTTGCGCTTCGTCATAATAAGGTTTCTTTTGTTCTTCACTAAGTTTGTTCCACTCTAACCCAAGCTGGACACTGATTTCTGCATTGTTGGCGGCTGGGTTAGCTTTGGCTAGTGCTGGCCGGTGGATTCTTGCCCAAACCATGAATGCATTCATGGGTCGCTTCACATGACCATTTCTGTCCTTACTGAAGGGAGTATCTGGTATTCCTATATGACAAAAATTAAGAGACTCATTAATGTCTCACACACACACACACACACACACACACACACACACACACACTATTTCTAAAGACAAGTGTACCTCTCTCTATATTTATGTATTAAGTACCTAAAAGCACTAAAAGTACTTCAATATAGTATTGCCAATTTCCCAGGATTCCTTATAACTCCTGAACTGCAGCTTAGAATGACTCCTAAAGGGAATATTGTTGAAGATTGAGGAATAATGTGAATTCCTCTGGAAGTGTTGAACATTTAGTTTATTTTCTATACTAAACACAGTTCATCATGGAGCCATTTATGACTATAAACTAAGCTCTAAATAGGTGTTAGGCAAATGCTTGAAGAAACTCCTTTACATGCTGCTATATTAATTTTATTTTGCTAAGAAGGTGAAAGTCCCACCAAAGCTAGTCACCAACACCAGTTCCATGTCCTGAGGGGAAAATAAATGACTTTTTGAGAGCTATGGAGCTAGTTGAAATGATCAGGAAGGAAACTGGCTAAATTCACACCTCTATGCAGTTCATAAAAAATACAGTCTATGTCAGGTGCTAGTGGCTTATCCCCATAATCCTAGCTATTCAAGAGGCTGATATCCAAAGCCATATTGGGGAAAAAAGTTTAAGGAAAAAAAAAAATTGAATTGGAGGTATGGCTCAAGTGATAGAGCACTAGCTGAGTAAGGAAAAGTCAAGCAAGTATAAGGCCTTGATTTCAAATTCTGGTACCAGAAAAAATATTGCTTCTTTTTATTTTATCATTATCTGATACATAAAAATTTAAAACATGAAGCTGTTATACCAAATATAAAGAAATCTTTTCTATTATTTCTTTTTACAAAGTCTAAAAACTGCTGAAAATTAAAAGCTAGGCAGAAGGGTGAGCAAAAAGTACTAAACAAAGAAGGGGGTAAGAGAGGATGAATACGGTCAAAGCAGTTTGTTTGCATGGATTAAATTAAAATAGTAAAACTTAAAATTGCTTTAAGAATTGGGGAGTAGTAAGGGAGGATGGAGTAAGATTTATTTATACATGTGTGGAAATCTCACAATGACACAATCCCTCTCCCCTTGTACAACAATATATGCTATTAAAAAAATCCATAAAGAAAATAAATACAAGCCAGGAGCTAGCAGCTCATGCTCATAATCCTAGCTACTCAGGAGGCTGAGATGTGAGGATTGAGGGCTATCCATCCTGGGCACATAAAGCCAACCCAGACAGGTAAGTCCCTGAGACTTTTATCTCCAACTAACCGTCCAACAGTCAGAAGTAGAGCTGTGGCTCAAGTGGTAGAGCAACAGCCTTGAGCAAAAAAAGCTCAGGGACAGTACCCAGACCTTGAGTTCAGTCCTAAGGACTGGCCAGGAAAGGCATTTTAAAAAGACACATGAACATATGAATTGAAGATTAATGTAATCTTCCAAGGCTTTTGTTAGCATAATGAACTAATTTTTAAAGAGTCTGTTGTGCATTTGGAAATGCTGGAAACAAATCATTTGTAGTAGTTATCATTTTGTTAGCTAAAGTCATTTAAGCAAAAACAATTCTAGCTTATTCTATAGCATTTTCATTTTTAATATTAGTGTTAGATTTTGGAAAAAATTTATACTGAATCATGTGTTCTTTTCTCCTAGCAAACTGTTTCCTAGTCATTTGAAAAGATATCCTCTACAATCAGCATAAACTTTCCTGTTAAATCCTAACTTTTTAAAATGAAACACAAGTTTCTTATATTTCTTGACATATATCAAGCTACTATAATTGGGTATTTTAAGTGCTATTCACAACTTGTAAACTGAAGGTTTTGTACCAACTATAGCAAGAATATTTCTATTTTCATGTAAAAAAATTCATGTAAAAATTTATAAAACTATTAGCTTTCATAAATTGACATGAACTGAAACCCCTCTGTATGTGGGGAAAAAAAATTGTGCTGTTCCTGGGGCTTGAACTCAGACCTTAGGCACCATCCCTGCGCTTTTGTGTTCAAGGCTAGCACTCCACCACTTGATCCACAGTTCTATTTTCAGATTGTTTTGGTGCTTCATTGGAAATAAGAGTCTCATGGACTTTCCTGTCCTGTTGGCTTTACACTGTGATCCTCAAATCTCAGCCTCCTGAGTAGCTAGGATTTACAGGTTCGATCCACTGGCTCCCCACCAAAGAAAATATAAACATTTTATTTTAATTAAAAAGATTTTTTCTTAAGCTACCAAATCTCAGCTAGGCACTGGTGGCTCCTGCCTGTAATCCTAGCTACAGAGGAGGCCGAGATCTGAGGATCACTGTTCAAAGCCAGGCCAGAGAGGAAAGTACGTGACACTCTTCAACTAAGACAAGAGAACCGGGGAAGGGGTAAGCAAATGCAGTCATTATAGTCAATGTATGGTATGTAAAAACTGAACTGGGTAACCTGAGGGTAGGATGGGGAAAAATGACGGAAGAAACCTCATGGATCTTCGAAGATGCACTGTACTCATAACCTGACCACCCTACGGCGCTGTAACCATTGTGCAAACTACTGCCTGATGAAAACTACAAATGCAAAATGCTACTAAATCCCACTGCTTAGTGGTCCTGGTGGGGATCCTGGGAGGCGTCTGGCTGGCAGGGGTACCAAGTCCGCTGGACCAAGTGATTGGATCACCAGAAGTGGTTGGCTGGATCGAATCACCCCAGCTCCGCGGGGCCTACTTCCGGCTCTCGACTGCGATGTGGACAAAGTGAAGCACCGTGTGTGTGTGTGTGTGTGTGTGTGCGTGTGTGTGTGTGTGTGTGTAAAGCGTGGAAAGCGTGAGCGCCCCTGCCCGGCGCCCGGTACCTGCGTCCGAGGGAAGCACGGTGAGCGGGACGTCTTTGGTTTCAATTTTCACCGAAGGCTCCAGCAGGGACTGCATTTTAATCGGCACCGGTGTGAGGGGGACTTTGGTCAGACGGATCAGCTCTGAAGGCGGAGGTCCCTGAAACTGGATGCGGGCCCCGGGGGGGACGGTGTGGAGAGTCAGCGGGAGCCTGAGGTCTTGCTGGTGCGGCCCGAAGGCGCTGGGGGGCTGTGCCAGGATGACCTCCTTGCCGCCGTGGATCAGGCCATTGGCCAAGGCCTCCGGGCCCAGCCTGAAGTCCTCGTGGAGCCGGTCGGGCTCCTCGGTTTTGATGAGGCCCTCTCCGATGGCCACCAGGGCTCGGCCTTCCCCGCCTTTCGCATCCCTCAGGACCTCCTCCACCTCCAGCTTGGCCTTCTTCTCCTCTCCGCGGCGGCCGTCGAGCGCCAGCCCGGCGTTGTCCATTCTGGCGGCCCTGACCGCTCTAGCTCCCGTCTCGATGACCCTCCGGGGTCCCAGCGACACCGCCAGGTCCATGCCGCCGGGCCCCGGCTCGGGCTTCTCGGCCTTGACCTGCAGCGCCCGGGGCGGCCCGGGGCGGGACTCCGGCCTGCAGGGGGCGCCGTCGGGGAGGGGCGGCGGCGGCGGCGGCGGCGGGGGAGGCGGCGGCGGCGGGGGAGGGGGGGGAGGAGGTGGCGGCGGCAACAGCAGCAGCTCGGGCCCGAACTGCAGCAACCGCGCCTGCGCAGACGGGGCCACCAGGCCGTCGTCCGGGACCGGAGACAAGAGCGGCCCCGACGGCAGCAGCAGCACCTGTTCCGGCTTCATCTGCAGCAGCCGCCGGGTCACGGGCTGGACGCCCGACGTCGGGCCTTCCCCGCCCGACGAGGCCACCGTCGTCATGGCGGCCGTGCACGGGGCAGGTGGCGACGACGACGGAGGCTCGGCGGCCGCCGCCGTGTGAAAACAGGTGCCCTCGACCGGCGGCGGGGGCGGACCGGCGCGCCGCGGGGCGGCCCGCGACGGTTGGCGTGGCCGAGGCGGCGGCTCGGACCGGACCCTCTCCATGGAGGGGGAGGGGGGCGCCCCGGCCCGGTCCCGGCCGGATTATGAGCTCAGCCGTTCGTTGGCGGCCTTTTCTCCCCCTCCCCCTTTCGGTTAAGACCCTTCCAAGCCCTTTATTACCCAGAACCCTACGCGGTTCAAAAGACGCCGCCTTCCGTCTCCACCCTTGCCCAATCAGGAGCGGCCGGAGACCCCCGGCCTGCCAATCACAGGCGCGTTCATCGGCTGCTCCCGCCTCCCGGCTCCCGCGCCTCGAGTTACCACCCTCGAATTGGTCGCCACAACCCGGGCCCCGCAGCACGTGCGGCCCATTTTCCTCCCTCCGACTCTCGCTCTCTTCCGGAGTTCTCTTCCACTCGTCGTCCTTGGTTACCTCTCTCCCGCCCCGGAGCGCTGACAATGGCGTTGCCTAGGAAACGGGGCGGTGGGCCATCCAGGATGAACCCAAGGGGCGTCCCAGGCCGGCCGGACGACGTCAGCCCCCGCGGCCTTCGGGTCCCTGCACCCGAAGCCTGTGCCTCTCTGAACGGATCGGCCGTATTCCAATAAAACTTGATTTACAAATCGAGAGCTGTCAGGTGTGAGTTATGAGTCATCACTCGCGGACTCGTACGTGCCTGATAAATGCATTGACTGGTATTCCGACGCCAAGTGAATCTGCATTCCTGGAAATGAAAACGACCCCGGGCATCATGCCTTCATGGACTCCCTGGACCAGGGTGCTGTTTTAAGCTCCTGATTCATGGAAGCTGTTGGGCAGTAGTTTTCTTGCCATAGCTTTGTCTAAAAACTAGAAAGTTTTCTAGAAGACACTTTCTAGCTTTTGAAAAAGTTCAGGTTGATACTAATTCCTTTCTTAAAAAGGGGGTGGGGGGGGGGCAGGCTTGGCCTAAAAAGTCATCTAGGCTGGACTTCTGCTTAAAAATAAATACATGCGATCGATTTCATATTTTAGTATTTCTTCTTGAGTCACTTCGGTCATTTCTGTCCATGAGCTTACTTTTCATAATTGTAATTATTTTACTTTCTATAGCGTTCGGAATGTGTCCATTTGTATTCTTAATTTTGTTCATGTCTATCATCTTTTTTCCCTTGGTTATTTTGCTAGTTGTTTTTGCTGTTTTCTTTCCTCTCTCTCTCTCTTTTTTTTTTTTTTTGCCAGTCCTGTGGCTTGAACTCAAGATGTAGGTACTGGCGTGTTCAAGGCCAGTACTCAACCTCTTGTGCCACAGATCCACTTCTGACATTTTTGATACTTAGTTGGTGATAAGCATCTTAAAGCCTTTCCTGCCCAGGCTGGCTTTGAACTGTCATCATCAGATCTCAAGCTCCTGAGTAGCTAGGATTATAGGCATGAGCCATCTGCTTCCCCTTTTTCTTTTTGGTAGCATTTCATGTTGCACAGGGTGGACTTGTGATCCTCCGGAGTCAGCCTTCTGAGTGCTGGGATTACATGCATGTACCACTATACCTAGCTCATTGTTTTATTTTTCTTTTTTTAAATTATCTTTAGCAGTTATACAAAGGAGTGTCAATTAAACATGTCATTTTGAGAACAACAGTCATCAGTATTTCTGACAGGACCTTTTAATCACAATAAAAAAATTGCTATTGAAAATCTCAGTTTCCCTCCATATTACTGTCTACTTTGCATTCATTTTGTTGTATGTTGTGGCTTTATTTCATTCAGATATTTTCTCATATTCCTGGTGATTTCCTTTCTGACCTACCAGTTGTTTAGAAACATTGTATAATTTTTTTAATCAAATTCTAGTTTCATTCCATGGTAGTCAAAGAACATGCTTTGTAAGATACCAGTCTTCAGTCTTTATAAATGTTCAATGACTTATTGACCTTGCATATTGTCCATTCTGAAGAATACTTCATCTGTACTTCAAAAGAATGTATATTCTACTGTTGTTGGCTAGAGTGTTCTCAACTAGAATAATAATTGATATAATGGTCAAATAATGATTGACCATGATGCTCAAGTATTCTGCCTATCAATTCTGACTTACTAACCAGTTACATTATTAATTAATCAGAAAGAAATCTTGAAATATCCATAATGGAATCCTGGGAAGGCTTTGTCCTTTTTGTTCTGTCAGTGTTGTCTCCACATATTTTGGGACAGTGTTTATACAGATGGGTTTGTAAACACTATCTTTCTGATGGATGAACCCTTTTGTCATTATGAAATATTTTTTCCAATCTCTGACTTTTCATGTATCAATGTAGTCTTTCTAGATTTCTTATAGTTGCAGTTGCTTTGTATATATCTTTCCTCATACAATTGCTTTCAGTCCAATGTATTTTAAATCTAATGTATTTCTCCTATAGACAGAATATATGTTTAATATTTTCCTACCCATTCTGCTTTTCCTTTCTTTCTGGGACATCCACTTACACGTGTTGGGATCACTTCTTACTACTCTGCAAGGCTCTGCAGTTCTCTTCATTTCAGTCTTTTCTCAGTTTATCTTCAAGCTTTCTACTTTTTCTACTATCTCAGTTTTGCTGCTAAGCTACTGTAAATTTTATTTCAATCTTTTTTTTTTGGTTGGTGGTCGGGCTTGAACTCAAGGCCTGGGCACTGTCCCTGAGCTCTTTTTGCTCAAGGCGGGCACTCTACCATTTTGGGCCTTGGTGCCACTTCTGGTTTTTGAGTGTTTAATTGGAGATGAGTCCCTCAGGGACTTTTCTGTCTGGACTTTTCTGTCTCAGATCTCAGCCTCCTGAGTAACTAGGATGACAGGCGTGAGCCACTGGTACCCAGCTAATTGTACTTTTCAGCTCTAAAATTTCAACTTTTACTATTTTTATTAATGTTTACTGTCTTATTGTTCTAATTTAATGCTTCAAAATGAGATTTTTGTTTTGTTTTGTTTTTTTTGTCAGTCATGGGGCTTGAACTCTGGGCCTGGGTGCTATCCCACCATTCTTCAGTTCAAGGCTAGTGCTCTACCATTTGAACCAAAGCACCACTTCCGGTTTTCTGAGTGGTTTATTAGAGATAAGAGTCTCGCAGACTTTCCTGCCTGGGCTGGCTTTGAACCATGATCCTCAGATCTCAGCTTCCTGAATAGCTAGGATGACAGGCGTGAGCCACTGCTGCCCAGCTTCAAAATGTTTAAGTTTTCTTTTGAAGTTTTTGTCATAACTAACATCAGAATGTTTCTATTAATGAATGCTTTTGATTTTGTAATGAGTTTGATAGATTTTTGTTCTCTTTTCTCATCTCTCAAAGAAGGGCATCAATCACTATCAAACAGTGTGTTACCAATTTCAGTAGTTGGCTCTTTGATGATATAAGACCCAGCAGGAAGTAGTGTCTATTTAATATCAGAGCTCTACCTCCAGTGGCCATTTCTATCAGATTTCTTCTGGGGTTTTGTTTGATGGTCTATTTGGGTTTGACTCAGGGCCTTTAGTTTGGTTGGCTTGCTTGCTCAGCTGTCATTATACCACTTGAGCCTTGCCTCCAGTGCAGTATTTTGCTGGTTATTTTGGAGATGGACTGGCTCAGACTTTTCTGCCTGGGCTGTTTTCAAGCTAAGATTCTCCTAATGAGCTAGGATTACAAGTCAGTTTCCTTCTTTCTTTCTTTCCCTTCCTCTCCTTTCTTTCCTTCCTTTCTATATCTTTCTCCCTTTTTAAAGTTTCAACAGAGATTTATTTTAGTAAAACAGGGTTAAAGTAGGAGACATGGAGAAGAGAAACATTTCCTGCTCCTCAAGCAGGAAATGGGAGTTAAAGACTGTTCAACTTTCTTGCCAGTATGTTAAGTAGTGTAATATGTCTGTGCTCAGAACCTTGGAGTGTGACTTTATTTGGAAATAGGGTGTCTAGAGATGTAATCCCTTAAGGATTCAGATGAGATCACACTGGATTTTGGTGAACTCTAAATCAGTGACAAGTGTCCTTATAAGGAGGAAACAAGAAAATGTAAAGATGTAGACAGAGATTAGAGTTAGATATTTACATGCTGAGGAATGCCAAGTATGGTTAGGAGCTAACAGAAGAAAGAGGCATTTAACAGACTTCTCCCTCAGAGAAAATGCTTTTCTACCGCAGTTTAATTTTGAAACTGTGACAAAATAAATTTTTTATTTTAAGCCACCCAGTATGTGGTACTTTGTTCCAGCATCCTTAGAAAACTAATATATTCTCTTTTTTCTCTTCTCTCCTAACAGTGGTTCTTTTTTATGATTGTTAAGGTCTTATGATCTCTAACTCTTTGAGTGGCTAAAATGATGTCACAATACTGTCTGTGACTCATCATTTATTTGCCTCTGTGATCCTATGTTGAACAGCAGTCTGCGTGTATATGTGTGTGAGCTGGTAATGGAGCTTCAACTCGGGGTCTCACATCCTTGCTTAGTTATTTCACCCCTGGCAAGCATTCTATCACTTAAGCCAGGACGCCAATTCCACTGGCTAGTTGGAGATAAGAGTCTTGAGGATTTCTCTGCCTGGGCTGGCTTGGAACTGCAATCTTCATAGCTCAGGCTCCTGAGTAAGATGACAGGCATGACTTCCACTTCCACCTTGTTGCTCATTAATTGGACATAAATCTCAAGGATCTCTCTGCCTGGTTGAGAATCATCAAGCCTGGTGAACTAGGAATATGGAGATAAATCTTCTGACTTACATGGCAGCTGTAAGCACATCGAGCATGCCCTGGTGATGAGTGAAATCCAAGGGAGTAGGAACTGCTGACTGCTCTTGAAAACGAAAACATCTTGGAGAGAAAAAAATTCCCTTAATGGTGTGAATAGATGTGGTGTCCATGATGGGATTCTCCACCGGCTCTCTAATCCTTCCCCATCTCTGCCCACCTTCACAGCTGTTCAAGAACTGCACAGGATCTGTGGCAAACTATGCCAGAAATACTAAGAAGTTTGTGTACTAGTGTTCAAGGAGACAGTTTTCCCCCAATTATCCAAAAAAAGTCATCAAAATCAGGCTAGGGAAGTAGTTTTCATGTCCCCCACCCCATTATT